TTGATTTATATGTGCTCTTCGGATGCCAAATGATGTTAGCGGACCGAGATGAAGTTCGAGTTCTGCTACGCTACTTTTTGACACTTCATGCTACGAAAAAGATCAGATGATGAACGAACTGTGAGCCGTGCGCTTGGTGCAAAGTGGTGTAAAGTATTTGAACGTGGTGAATTCAGCGTCGAAGACGGACCTTGTTTAGGTCGTCCACACTGTTGGGCAATGGTACTGATTGAATGCGACAATGGTATTGTATGACAGTGGGGGGGGGGTCATCGTTCTCCATCTTGAGCAATAAATGTTGTTGTTTTTGTTGAAAATGATGATGAAGTTCAAACTTTCAATGGTGTGAATCAACCTCGACCTTATACGACCCTCAATACTGTAGCTGATTCCGGGCAGTGGACGAGCTTCCACATTACCTGATGTTGCCAACGTGAACCTCGTGCCCCGCTTCTGCAGCAAAGGCTAGAGCGTAGATGGATATAAGAAGTGGCTGGAGTACGGATAAAAAGGAGTGGCTGGAGCAACCATTCGGAGGAAAATGATGAAAATGAAAATTCGAAGCGGAATTCCGCACGGTCTTGCTAAGTAGCTTTGGTAGGCCTTACGCCCCTAGAACCATCACCAATCGTCTGCTGATCGTAAATAATCTAGCTTCTTTATTCAGCAGCCATGTTAGCTCCACTCAACAGCAAAGTGATCGTATCAACTGCTTGAGGAGGATAAAAAGCACATTGCTGTTGCTTGGCGCACATCTCCCCAGGCAATTACAAGACTTCTGTCAATCTAAGGGTGAAAGTGTAGATGGAAAAGCATACGTTTTGTGTGGTATTGGGACTAAGCCTTTTGAAGGAGGTAAAGAAAGCGGAGATCTGTAATAGTGTGCATGTGTGAGAGCTCCCAGACAGCACTACAAAACCCTGAATTGTACAGCCTCACGTTGGATAAAGTCCTAACAATAAGAGCTTCCTAGATCCGCTCTAGATAAAAGCGTCTACAAGCGACATATCGAATTTTGGAACTATGCCTTTCATTACATAGCTTTTCCACCCGCCAAAGCCTAAATTACGCTAGCTCGACAGTGAGTTCCAATAACTGGGTATCGGGTACCAATGGGTATTAGAGAGTCACAAACCTGGAGCCGTACATATTTAGCTAGCGCCCGGCCGGGGATGGGTTCCCATCTCCGAGGTCGCATCCCCAGCCAGGGTCAACCCTATGTTGCTACAAGTAGCAACGGGGGGTCGTATTTTGATGAGTTTGTAGGGGGGGGTCGTACTTGCTTCGGTTGTAAGAAGTTGCATGTGATGAGTGGGGAGCGGCGCGGGAGAAAATTTGCCGTTTCAGCGCGCGTATATACCCCCCCCCCCCCCCCCCCCCCCCCCCCGCTCGACGGTAATTTTTTGGGGTAAAAATTGGTCGGAAAGGGGGGGGGGGTCGTAGGAAACTTTTCCTGAAGGAGGGGGGTCGTAAAAACTTTTCGAAAAGTAGCAACGATAGGACTGACCCTGTCCCAGCCCTCCAGATCTTGTGAGATTGGTTACGCGTTAATGCGACAAGACGTCGTGTTCACGCCCCACACTCTCTAACGTCCGTTCTGCTCCTCTACATGCACTTCAGTGACAATAAAATCTATCCTGCCCTAATCCCCTTGCCTTCTAGACGACTATAACATTACACCACCGACCCGGTTCACTGAGGATCGTCCTGACTCGTGGTCTATTACCATCAGCAAAGATATGCCCTACTTCTGCCAGAATGCGTCCTATAAAAATCCGAAAGGACTAATTCTTAACTATTGTATGCGGGACTGGAAAAGAATGACTTACAAAGACACTTTCGTCAATGGAAAGCCATCATGGATGCGTTTCCCCGCTGTTTCTATCAGCCATAGTTGGCCAGATGAGTAGAATAGCCACAAATAACCAATTGCGTATGTAGGCAAGATTCCTCAACGTCACACACTATGAAAAACGCAGAGCTCCTGCCTCAGTAGGAGCCTATGGAAAGAGTTGGCGAAAGTACTACTGTTTGCTCTGCAGTGCACAAGACGCAATGGATGTCACGCTTCAACGACTAATGCTGGACCGATTTATTACAAATGCTTGTTGTTCTGCATTCTGCTTGTTCTGCATTCCTTCTGCATTGCTCGTGAGGAAATCTTTGGGGTCTTTTCCAGTAAGGGGACATGTGGTGCGACAGTGCATATATGAAGAAATCCATTTTTTCGCAAGCGAGGGAAACTCTGGCCGTGGGCGTAAAGCGGAAGCAAATGGGTTTACACACCTTCAGGGATTTCTTTCCTCTGCAAAAATTGCAATTTCTATGCGCGGTCGCAACAACTACATGCCCCCTCCCTCCCTTACTGGACGAGCCCTCATCTTCATTAATAAAGTACTCAGTGTTGAATCAAATATATTATTGCTGAAAGACTGCCATTCTAGCTGTGTTTACAAATCGTCTACATTTCAAATAAATCTGAGGAACACAGATTTTTACCTGTCAATTAAGGTGAATAATGGCTGATTCTGCCAGTCACGGGGAAGATGACGATCCGGTGGAATTATTATTGGCTCAACACCGGAAAGAAAAGAAGGCGCTTAAGGGTGAGTTTTTACCAGGTTGTATTTTACTGATGAGTTTATGATTTATTATGTTCTGGGATTTTCCGTGTAATTATATCCGGTGAAATGAAGAGCAAATTCTTTTTTTTTTATTTTATTTCTTTATTTCATTTTCCTTCTCATTTTTTGAGGATAACGGGAGCGGATATTTTTCGTACGCCACAGCCTTCTTCTGAGTCATTGAGATAGGTACCTTTACTTATTGTGGCATAGATAGTCCACTAACGCAGCATATGCCACTCATGCAACCTTTCTCGTCGTCTGCTGTCGCAATAAGCATTATCAGATTACCAGTATAACCACATGGTTCCTCATTTGTTCCTCATTCATTTTTGACTCAGGCGAAGTTTAGTTGAAGGGGAAGGGGCACCTCTACGCATTAGTTCGTCCCTGCAACAGTATTTTCATTTTCAGTAAGGGAGGAACTTACAGGGTGGGTGAAACAGCTTGTATATGCAATAAGGAAACTGAGCAAGTACAGAAATTAAAAAACTTTTGTTATGGTTGAATGCCTTGAATCTCTGCGTCGAAAGGCCTCGTCCCTCTCAAACTACAGTTGAGTCAAGACTCAATCCATGCATCAATTGAGGAATGGAACATCTAACATGGATCAGTCCTCTTTACGATGCATCATGCACTTCTACTTCCATGCAGAGTGCACTGATGATTGAATGCATTTTGGCTTTTACAGTGACTTATGAGAGCCATCTTTAACCACCCAGAAGGTGGACAAATTATGTTCGTCTCTGCTGGTTTCGTTCACAGGGGCTGTATTCTATCCTTCTAGGCCAGGATAACAAGAATACCCTATAAAATTTCTTTGTCTTTCCAACAAAATTGGTCTGAGAAACTGCATATTTGTGATGTGTATATGTGTGTTAAAGCTAACAAGAGCGGGAAAGTAAGGCAACTGTGTCGCTAAAAACAAATAAATTGAAAGGACTATTTCTAGCCTGGGGGAAGGTAGGATACCGCCTCAGATGTTGCCCCTCTACCCTACCCGTGACAAGTAGCACCGCTAGCCGCTACACTACTCTGCCCATATCGTTAAATACATTATGATCATGAAATAACTCAAAAGGACTGAAAATATTGTGAATTTCATCGAATTTCCTCGAAATTTGCACGTTTTTCGGCTCTTTACTATTTGAGTAATGAGTGTGCTTAGGTCCAAGCTTTGAAATATATGCTCCATACTTCCTCTCTGGTAGAATCCAAATTAAGGTAGAGTAGCTTGTTCTCATTGCTGAAGCAGCTTGAGAACTGATCAAAGTTTTTGCTTAATGCTATTTTTCATTGCTTTTTTTTCATTTTTTTCAAGCAGGATCACAAATTTTATTATTTCATTTCTACAGAAAAAGCACTGTCAATGAAGAAAATTGCGAAATCAGGAAACAAGCAAAAACAAAAGGAAACGAACGCCGAAATTGAAAGATTGGAGCGCGAGTTGACCGCGCGTCATGAACGAGAGCTAGCAGAACTGAAATCACAGGTGAATTTGACTCTCATTTTGTTTTCTCTATATTCCATATTTGCCAACAAAGTGTTCAAGGATAAGAAATAAATCACATGTTTCAAGACTACGAACTGCTCCTCCTCTCCAGTTCGTCAGGCTCCGCTTGAAGAACCAGAAGTTGACACTGATGAGTTGGAAACAGCATTTTACAAACAAGTGACAGTGTCGACCAGAAATAAGAAGAAACAGGTTAATCCCTCATCGATTTTCTACTGCAGTTCGCAATGCACATGCTATTTACTACTTTGATGTAGAGTTGGTCTGTTAGCTCATAATGTAGCATTTTTTCGGTAACATTATTATCATAAATTGCGACAAAACAGCAGTTAATAGGAAGCACATACTCAAAGTTTTGTGCAGAATTCATTCCACTTTTGATACTATCTTCCATTTGGTTCAGGCTAAGCAGGAAGAAGCAATACGACGAATGCAGGAGGCTGTAGCTCTAGACCGTCAGAACGCCGAGACATCATTGCGCGTCACGGAGATGACAGCTATACAGAAGGTTTTCTATTGGAACTCTTACTTCTATTACTCAGTTGGAGATAGATTTCAAGAACCAACAGAGATTTGTTGCGATAACCTCGCATGCTTCAACGTCTGCTGCACGATTAATGGCTTACCTGGGGTGTGGTTCTAATGATCAGGAGTGCACCTAGAGTTCTCGCAACAGTAAAATTTTGCACTGTGAAGAAGCGAATATCGTCTCCTGTCCTAGCGACCCAAACCTGCTTACAATTTTTATTTGACGGAGGGCTTTTTGTCGGCGTTCTACACTTTATTACACAGGCGCAGTTTACGGGAGTCTACAGACAATTGAGAATTTTTCAGATCCTTGATGAACGTGGTCTCAACATTGTCGACATAGCTCCAGATGGTGATTGCCTTTATAATGCGGTGGCTCACCAGCTATCACGTGTTAGAGAAAAAATAATACGACAGCAGGTAAATTACTTAAAATGCCACTCTCGAGAGAAACTCATCCAGTACATGGAGTTTCTGTGGAGCGTGGGCATAGCACTTCTTTTTCACATATTTAAGGTGACCGGCAAAGATATGCGACGAAAAGCAGCGAAATATATACGGGAACACAAAGACGACTTCATCCCATTTTTAGTGAACGTGAGTCGAACTACATTTCTTTAATTGATAGCAACCTATCTGATTATGTTTAGCGGTAAAATCTTTTGTTATAAGTAGTAAAAAGGCTCGTTTTTAAGGAGAGCGACGATCCTCTGGACGAGTTCGAGTTCGAAAAATACTGTCACGGAGTTGAAAACGAGAGCAAAGATGGAGGTGTTTGGGGTGGGGAACCAGAGCTGAACGCCCTCAGCCAGAGCTTGGAACGGAGTATAGAGGTACAAATTTTGAGTATAGGTTGAAATATGGTTTTCTCTTCTACAAAGGTTCAGCAAGTCGAAATTTTCCACGTGGAAGAGCAAAAGGTTCACAAAATTCAACAACTCGAGTAACAATCGGGAATATTTTAGCTAGTTTAAATAACCTCCAAGGAGCCGGCTAGCTTGACATTAAACTAAAATGTTTGAATTTAGTTGATACAACCGATTGGATCGCCGGTGATTTTCGGCGAGCAGTACAACAAAACCAAACCGCTAATAATAGTGTATCACCGTCATGCATACCAACTAGGAGCTCATTATAATTCAACGGCCGTAAGGACTGTTTCGTGATAGATTCATAGATTTACTCATATTTTATTAATATTTGTTGTTCTGCCATTATATTTTAATGTATGTCACTAGTTAAGTATTGTTTTCCCTATGGGAACACCCAACCTTTATTTTATTTCAGAAACTGTTCACGTTTTCAACTAGGACCTGTTAATATTGTGTTAAGTGCATGCATGCCCATTTTCTTCCTTCATACCTTTCATGAATATAATATTAAAGTAGACATTTTCTTCTGCGTTGTGCACAAGAGGCAATGAGATCAAAGTTCATTCAATAATCCACCTCAAGAGGTCATGCTTACTGGCCCACTGGTCCGTCCACGAATAGGTAGGTACAGCTTGAACTCAGCGGGCAGTTCATCTTCATTGTACAATCGATCAGCGAAGTAAATTCGTCGCAGGCGGCAGTTGGCATGAACCTGAAACGAACATAGTTGAGATTATGCTTGAAGGGATCAGTGGCCCAGGGGCCGTATGCTGAATGTTGGGGAGGGGACGGGGATGGGGAAACGTTGGGGAGGTTCGTCGCAGGACCCACTGGGCAACGGCCGCACCTTTGATTTTGCAGCTTTGTTTCCATTCTTTCATCGCTGTTTTTGGGATGAAGAAAGGTATTTACGAGCGAATATACAATCAGGAACAGTAAAAGGAAACAAAGCTGCAAAATCAAAGGTGCGACCGTTGCCAAAGTGGGTCCTGCGACGAACCTCCCCAACATTTCCCCATCCCTGTCCTCACCCCCAACATTCAGCATACAGCCTCAGGTGTTGATGTTACTCGAATTGTTTGGAAATCTATAGAGGACCACGTTAGCGACAAGTTGCATGTTGACTGAACCAGCAGCTACTACTTTACATCAGTCTAAAAGTAGTCATCACCTGAATCCGCAGTGTTTCCACGTAATTTGTACCGTAGGCTCGTTTTGTGAAATCGGCGAGATTGAACTGGATTTGGTTCCATCCCTCATCAAGTCGCATTGGCATGGTACAGATGAATGGCTTTACTCGTGTACTTGACTGGTAATTCGAAGCTCTAAAGCGTCGTTTTACACCTTTATCGTCTAGGATCTGAAACAGTAAATAATCACAGGTAGAACAGAAGAAAGGACAAAGTTATGGTGATTTTAATCAACGAAACCATACCTGGACTTCAAAGGTGAAATACTTCTTCATATTTTTCACCACCATCACGAAATACGGTAATTTGATACCGAGTGTTTTCTTTCGGGTCGTGTGGACATGAGATGTATGAAGTACTTAAAAAACGAATTTGTTGGAGTTCAAAAGAAAGTATTCGCAAGTTCTCCTTACCTAACATTAGCTCCCATAACCTCGATAATGAGTGATTGAATTTCATCGTCTGTGACTCGTTTAATGTGCCCATTTTTTACCTAAAAAGTTACTTAGGAAAATTTTTATGTTTAATATAGAAATGAGGTAAGGAATCATCAGTGGATCTCTACTACAAGGTACTTTCACCATTATACAAGCAAGCTTAGTAGAGGAAAAGAAGTAGTGCAAGAACATGCTTCGCAATGCTTTCGGTCCGCTTTGAAATAATAGCTGAATGACCTGTGTTTATCTCTCTAGGTATTCAGAGGGCGGAGGATAGGCCGATGTCAGACTTTGCGAATCGCGCGATTCGCTACTAGCGATTCGCGCGATTCGCTAGCGTCCGCGGTCGCGTTGCGGTACCAGCCAATTGAGTGATTCACTGGCCGCGACGCGACCGCAGAC